TTTCCCCTTCCGATTCTCTCCCCCATTCCATCGGGGGGGGGAGTGAGCGAGTGGCTGTGTGGGGCTTAGTTGCCAGCTGGGGTTAAACCATGACACAGCCACATGGAGCCGTGGGCACGCCAGGAAAAAAAACAAAGGCAGGAAATGTGGGGCAGGGCGCCGACCCTGGGCTTTGCCAGCCACTTGGGAGACCTGGGAGAAGTCACCTTCTCCGTCCACAGCTCCGTTCCCCGCTCGGGTGAGCGAATGACTGGACAGGTGAAAGTTAAAGACCAGGGAGAAGCTTTCCCTGGGCCAGCTTTAATCTGGGCAAACACAGTGGGAAACAGGCATATTCAACAGTCCTTTTCCCTTGGAAAACCCTTGACCAGCCACGTCTTTGCAGAGCAAGAACCCATCCAGTCCTCTAGCAGCACTCTAAGCATCTAGCTGAGGAATCCCCCCATGCCCAACCCGGGCATCCTTGCTGCCAGCTGACCATCAGGGAAAGGAGGGGGACAGCAAAGGATGGCTCTGAGGAAAAGCAACACTCACCTCTGGCCGTTCCCTGTGGGTGTTGACGGCTTCAATGTTCAGCGAGATGGACTCCACCCGGCAGCCTGCAGAAGGGAGCACAAGGAGACAGAGAGGCCATCAGCAAACCCAACGGGCACAGGATGCTACAAAGTGCTCCACCCCAGAGGCAGCTTGGATTCAGGAGGAGGTACAAGTCGAACCCCTTGGCATGTTTAGTAAAGGCCCCACTTACCATAGGCCACCGGGGTCAGCTTCAACACTGTGTGAAGGGGACATTTCAGGTAGGGCATTTCATCTGCAGAGAAAGCAAAGCAGGAGGGTTACCCCATCCCCTCTCCAAAAAGCAGGTTTAGACATCTTCATCAACAGCTAAGGCCATCCCACACCAAAGAGATGCATGCTCCAGGCCCTGTGTGGACCTGAAGACATCTCTCATCTCCTCAGAGCTCCGTCTATCATCCCTCCTCCAGCAGGATCAATCCTCTTCCCAGGGACAGGGAGCTCACCTGCACTCTTGTCCAGAAAGTATGCCAGGAGACAGCGCATGACAGCCTGGTGACAGATCACAAGGACGTTCTCTTGTCTCTCCAGCTCCATGATGACAGGCTCTAGGCGCTGCACCAGATCTTGGTAGGACTGAGACAGAGAAGAAGGGAGATATGGCATAGAATCAAGAAAACGAGCACCTCACAAGAAACAGTGGTCCTTGTCTTGGTACATCTATTGATTTCATGCCTCTGACTAAACCATCATAACTACTGCTAAAAACAAGAGAAGTTCAACAAATCCTCATCTTCAGGCTACTCTAGAACACAGCTACTTCTTCTGGTCAGAGGAGGAAGAAGCCATTCACATCTCAGTTACAGTCCTGGAAAGTTTATGAAGGTAAGCAACAATTGCAGAGGGGCTTTGAGCATAATCTCTCTGTATCATCTTGAAATTTGATTTTCTACAGGATTTCTAAGTTCTGAAAAGTCTGGAGCAACCTGAAAATCTCCAGGGTTTTGAATGACTTCATAAAGAACCGTGACAGGCAGCCAGAAGGAACCCCAGACACACAGAGTCAGTGTCAGACATCCCCAAACATTCTCCTGCTAGACACGCTCTCATAAGGATGCCTCCAAAGATTTTTTTCTTAAATGTCTACGGACGTGACTTAATTTGGGGATAAAAAGCCCAGTTCACAACCTAAAGTATCATCCAGAACTGATGTCAATTCCCACCTCATTGTGTCACACCCTGAAAGCAGATCGCCAGGAACAGAGATCAACATCAACCCTTAGGGAACGATACTGAGAGCAGGGGTAGAAATTACTTCTTTGGAAGTGAAAGAAAAGGAAATTGAGGCAGCACAAGTTTGCATGGATGTAACGGAGGAGGTTGGACTAGAAACCTCCAGAGCCCTCTTCCTACTAGTTTGCTATAAAGTCAGTGGGACTGTTTGTTAAGTGCTACATTTCTTCATAAAATCTTCTCATACCGCGATTTCACAAGAGCTCAATGCAAAAGGTAAATATGAGCCCTGACCTTTCTTGATTCTAGTTTCTTGGAGCACTTGCTGCTTCCCTGCTCTGAGTGTAGAGGACAGCATGAAGACAAGAAGGCCATGTTTAAAGTAAGAGTCACATCTCTGAAGGTCTCCTCGCAGACCTACCTCCCCAGAAGGATAGCGGTAGTAATATTTATCCTGATCACGTAAAGCAAATTCCTCTGGATGCTGCTCCCTGATTTCTTCATATGTCATTTCTTCACACACACCCTGCCAGAACAGGACATCCATGAGGTTACTGGACATGCTCAAGTCAAAAAGCACCAGCACACCCAACATGCAAAGCCTTCTCCGAAGCAATTGTCTATAACCCTCTGAGTGGTCAGCTACAGAGCGGCTCCAAGCAAAAATCATTTTAATCTGCTCATTCAAGCCAATATCTTGAAGCATCTGCACAGGGCAGAGCTAAGATCAGAAGCCAAGTTGTGAGTATTGCAGCAGAACTACCACCCTTTCCCACAGAAGGAAAGTCTCCCCACAAATGGCAAGATTTAGGCAAAAGTGAAGAGACCGGTGCTATCACCCTCTCTGCCAAGCAGCAACCAGCATGATCCAGCTGTTCCTACTGCAATCAAAGATACTTACAGCATCGATTTCATTGAGTGCCTTCCACTGCTCATAGGGCAGTTGGAGAGCTTCTGCCGTTTGGATTGTCCTCTTTAGTTGGCTGGTCCAGACTTTGAGGTCCTTCAGATTCTGCTCCCCAACAAACTTGTTCAGCGCCAGTGCAAACTGTGGGACATAAAAGAGGTTGATTCCTGATCCACAGCTTCCCAATGGGCCTTCTGCCCTGCTTCCCAGTAAATGCCTTCTCCAGGACCTCTTTTGCCTTCCATAGGCAGACATCTTAGCCTTCTGCTCTGAGGTGAAGAGCAGCCACACATGCATTGATCCCCAAAAGCTATGAGGGGTATGAGGATAGAGAGAAAGCAGAGGAGGAAGCGGCAACCTAACGTCATCAAGGAACAACATCAGCATCCAAGAAACAGCACCACAACCTGGGCTCTCCTACAATGCAATGGAAGATCCCAGGCCACCCTTAACCACAGCTCTGCTTATTTGTCATAGAGCTAAATCGATGTATCCCGTAGTCCTTGACAATAGTCACACCTCAAGTGACTCCATTTGGACTTCAAAATGGTCTGGCAAGCCAAAATAGCTTAACCCTCCCTGAAGCAGTGCGCTTGACCACGTCTTTGAAGAATCAAGTAGTGAGCAATCTGAAAGCACCCTTGGAGTCGGCTATCCCTACTGAAGGGTGGCAGCAGTCCTTCTACATCCCGCCCTGCCTGTGCAAGGTCTGAACCAACTCAATGAAGATACTGATACCCTTCGCTCCTAGAGATAACTGCAGCCCGACCTCTGCTAACCCCTAACTACATGCAAGCCTACATGTAACATTGATGGCTGGAAAGTCTTGTTTTGAGGCCATGCCCGAGCCCAAATTTAACCAGCCCTATAGATGGATCCCCTGCGCACCCCAGCTGTCATCAAATATACACTTAACCCAATGCATGGCATCTGCTATGGCCAAATGACTCCTAGAAGCCATAAGGGAATGTTCCCTTCTCCCTCACCTTCTTGCCCCTGTTGGAGAGGCCCGAGTCGCCTCCAATCTTCCCCTTGAGGTTGAACTCGCTCTCGCCGTGCCGACAGAGATAGATGGTGCGGGGCTGGACATGGATGTTCATCAGGTAGTAAACGATCCTGCTCTGGATGTGATCCTGAACCCTGTTGACCAGGAACCGCCGGCCAACATCGATGACTTTGATGAGAGAAAGCTCCCTAGGAAAAGCAAGGATGAGGAGGTTGCCAGTGGGGAAAGCGGAAAGAAAGAAACACCATTCTTGAAAAAACAGCCTTGTGAGGTATCTCAGTCAACATAATCACCCAGCTAAAAGGATTTCCTGCAGGCTATTTTCAACAGGAAGCCAACAGGTAACGGCGATTCATGGAGAGCTAACTAACACCAGTGTAATCGCCATTCCTCGTTGCAGCCGTAAAGAGGATTAAACAGGACTAGCAGGGAGCATGTTCCTCCCTAGGACAGGGCTCAGCAGGACCGGGATTATCCACGCAGAGCACACAGACGCATTTGTGAGCACCGGAAAGGCTGGGAGGTGCCTGCACGGTCCTGCAGGACAGCAAAGGTCTTCCAATGGCACACAACTAGGCGGAAACCACAGGGCTTTGCTCAACCTTGTAGTTTGAGCCTGTTCAAGCATTCCCTTTCTTTAACCGACAAAAGCATCTCAGAAACACTCAAACAGAACTGCTTTTCCAAAACCTTTGTATTTAGACCTGCAGAACCAGCGTACCTGAGCCCAGAAGAGCCTGGGAAGGTTTCAGTGCCCGGCTCCCTGGCACAGGGCTGGGGAAAACCAGCATTTTCAAGGAAAAAGCCGAATTCACAATGAGGCTTGGTCATATGTTATTCTAGCACAGTCACGTATTTGAAGAAAAAGTGAAATACAGCTCCATACTCCTCTCCTGGGAGAAGGCAGGCATTCAAGCCAGTTCAAAAGTCAGCAAAGTCTCTTACCGGTCATAGTCATCAGGGTCGAGTGGCTGGTAGCTGGCCTGGTAACAATTGATCCTCTTCATGAAGTCCTCCATGGCATCGGTCGAATTACAGTCCCGGTAATCAGGGCTTGACAATTTTACTTCCTGCAGCAAGGGAAAAAATAAAAACACACCGCAAGGAGAGGTTAGGAAGCTTTCCAAGCCAGACCATACTAATCTCAAATTTCAAAGTCCTGCCAAGATCCAGCTATTGGCTGAGCCAGTTTACAGCCATCACTTATGAGAAGACAGAAAAGAAGCAAACTAGACCCAAAACTAAGCATAAGGTGAGAAAATCTGGTATAAACCGTTGCATGACCAGTACAGATGCATATCAGTCTGCTCCCGTTCTCCCAAGAGTTGGAGTAACACCTCACCACCCAACACAGTGGGAAAACTGAGCTTTTTTTATGGCTAAAGAAAAGCATCAGGTTTACACAGTTCAAGCTGAGGATGGAAAGTGCATAACCTTAGGCAAGATGCTTGTCCCGGGCCTTTTGAGTGAATAAAGCTCCCAGGAGGTAGAGGTCAACCTGGCTGTCCACCATCTGAGGTTGCAGGATAACAACATTCAACCCCTTCCTGTGCAGCGTTTGCTACAAGCTACTGGGCTGAAAGAGGCTAGAAACGGGCAATGTGAATATCCAGAGCTCTCATGAACTATTCTAACAGGCTATTTTTCCTGAAGATTTGTGTTTGAGCAGCAGCATAACAGATTAGTAACTTCACATGCAGTCCTGAAACCAACAGGATAACACAACCAAGCAACACGCATGGCAGCACCCCAGGCCCGCAGCGTATTTTCCGCACTGATCCCAGCGCTAAGAGCACCATTCATCTGCAGCACCCCGTGGAGCAAAAACCTACGCTCAGCTAGTAGTTCATTTTCTCCCCCTTCAAGCATTAGTTTCCAGAGAAAGGGATTAAATCCTCCAAAAAAAAAATCTAGCTTCACGGTATTGCAAAGAGGAAAAAGGAAAAAAAAGAAGAAAAAAAAAAGAGCAAACTGAGCATTTTGTTAGCATCATGGAAAAGGCTGCGTACAACTTCCCAAAAAGCTGATCGCTGGCCATGGGACACCAGCTCCCAGCAGGAGCAAAAGCCACGCTTGCTCTAGCCCCCACCATAGCACCCCTTTGCGGAGCCCGTCCCGGGGGCAGAACAAAACCCGACAAAACCCTTCTCACAGACTTTGGGTATCCTGCAGTGTATTTCCAGACACCACAAAATGGCTCACAAAGTTCAGATGTACAACTGGAGATAAGGCTGGAGCAGAGCCCAGTGGAGGAAAGGACACTTTCATTCAAGTTAATCGTGCCTAGGTAGACCAAGTAACATCTACCTGCCCTAGCTGAGCCTAACGGGTAAAGGAGCTCTTCTGCTCGTGGGAAATCAAAGATACAGCAGCTCCCAAAGGAGTCGAGAAGCAACGTTTTATGCTGCTCTCCCAGCCAAGACTTCAGCTAGTGGCAAGAAACCTCTGAGCTCAGCTACTGTTCTTCTCAAAGCAGACCCCAATAGATTTTGGGAAGCTGCATGTGGCTGAAGACATCAAGTCTGACTGCTCTCTGATGGGATTTAAACCCCTAACTGCATCCCTCACTTCCAAAAAGTGGGACTTTGGGGGGTCACCAAAGCATCCTGTCCTTAATATCAAGTTACAGGTCAGCAGGTATGCAGAGAGCATAGAAGGGAGCTGGGGAAAGGCTACAACAACTTTTATCTTCATTACTTCCAGGCGGCCCTGGTTCCTGGGAGATAAAAGTTCCTTTCTCACCCCAGGACAAATACATCATAAAAAGATAAAAACCTCCTAATCCTCAACCATCTCTGGCAAGACCAAGAAACCAGCTGGGCGCAGGTGGAAAATCCTACACGAGGGGAAAAAAAAGCAAGATGTTTCCATGCTTACCATAACGTTGGTGGCAACTACCGTGGGATCATTGCAGACAGATTCAATGAAGAACACCTGCAAAGCAAAACAAAGCTCACCTGAAGGCCAGCAATAAGGTTTTAGCTCCTTGCTAAACCCAGCCGCCTCCCTCCTTGACCAGAGAGCTCTCCCTCTGCCCCACTCCCATCCTCTCCTTCTCCAGGGTTCGGGATTGGGAATGAGGGAAGAGTTTCACATTTTTAACCAAACCCAGCAGTGAACCC